GGTATGGAAAGCTTCCAGAGTGTTTCACACAGTTCATGTGTGAGTTTTCAGTTACTTTAATATTAGAAGAAGTTACTTACCATTAGAAGAGAACGCTACGAGTACTAGAAGATTCACGTATCTGTCCCCTTTGAGAACCATAAGTTCATCCGGGCGGGTACAGGGCTATCAGAATGAAGCAAAAGTTGTTAAGAGTGGGGACGCTGCGCGAATAACATAAAAGCAAAGGGAATCATGTGAATGCGCCAAGTAAGGCTCCTTAAAGCTCCTTCAGTTCAGGGCACATCCTAGTGATGGGGATAATTGTTGCAAAATACGACTTCAGCGATCAGCGACTCCCCCTGGGAATTCCCCAACCTACAGCGAACCCTGCCTACTTTTCGCAGGTGCGTATGAGCATTTGTTGTACTGCCTACACAAAGGATCTTGTCTGCTAGCCAGGAAACCTGAGAAGGAGCGGTGGGGGAAGAGAGAGGTAGGAGACGCCCATGTGCCTACCAGATAAATTCGTTCAGCCACTCGTTCCAGGTAGAATTGCGCGGGTGGATACTTACGAACCTTTAGCGCCTTCCCTGGACTTTTTATGCATTTTCTTTTACCTTTCACTGGGTTTTCCAAAATAGCGATGTTTTCAGACAATTTCACAGTTTTTTGGCAGAAAATTTTTATGGTGGTGGATGACAACAAAAAGGATTGATGAGCTGTGCTTACCTTAGGTCTAGAAAAAAGCAGACAGGCTATATATGTTCTTCATTAATGATACGGTATCAACAATCATCTTTTCCCGTATTATTCAATTTTGTTTAGCTGGATAAAATGTTATAATGACTTGGAATTACTGTTGCTTCTACGGATTGTGTGCCGTTTGGGCTTTGTGCTGTCACAACTGCGGTTATAAAGGCGCATTCCGCGATGACCATACGTCGTATGGGCGGGGACTCCCGACAAATGTGCCCTTTGAATGGAGAGAAATGGGCGTCGACTCGTCATGACGCGAATGGGCGAGATTGGCAACATGCAGTGCAATGATGTCATTTTGAGACCGCTACAATAGGTAAAAAATCTGCTCTTGCTACACTCCCAGCCACTCCGCCTTCCTGCGAACTATCTTTTTGGGGATAAAGCCTTGGCCTACTCGCACAAAAATCCATTAGGAATTTTTTGTCGAAAAGGGGAATGAGCGATCTAATGACAAAGTGCATTTTCGGTGGGCAAGCCAATAAATGAGGTGGGCTGGAGTATGCGCTAATTTCGCAGCTCTAGTCTGCAGAAAAGTAGAGCTAGAGGCCCACTTTGTGGGATTGAACTCTCCTACTTACTAATCATAAGCTAGTCACCCCCTCAAACTAGGCGCGACTATTCAGTGCGTTAAGCCTCTTGTATTTGGCATTCTCTGCTTACTCTTCTACTTAGTCTTTTGGACTCTAGTGCGGTGCTCAGTTGGTTCTTCACCAGCTCAGTTTAGTCACTCCGTGGGTATGGGTTCTTGCGACTGTGAGGTGAAAGGGTCCTCAGCTACAGCAGAGCATCACTCTCTCCACTCACACACTCTTTCCACTGGAAAATGCAAAGTGCACAGGAACGGAGCTGGAGGGTAGTGATACCCTGTGCCGCCTCCATACTCCGGCTATCCTACACGGTGCAGTACTTTGTGTCGATACCCAAATTCCGCCTGCGGAGCACGCACTTGCGACAGAGGACAACCACCAGAAGGATGGCGAGTGCAGGCCAAAAAGTCGTTTTGGCTGTGGGTTAGTCTGCACAAACTTGCGACTAACGCTTAACCTGATCCAGCCCACCTGCCCATCGACCAGCCAGCGACAAGCGCGCGTCGAGAGCTGAGCAGAAGTATAGGTATCGATCAGTGAGAAAAGCAGCGTCTATCGCCATCCACCAGCGACCACGACCAGCAGCGTCCAGAAGTGGAGAGCATAGGGTGATAGGAAGCAGGAAGGGGTATTTTAGTCGAGTCTGTACGCCCCCCCCCTTTTTTTTGGGGCGGGGGTTGGTAGGACTTCTCCCCCTCCCAACAATGACCAAGTACGTTCCCCCCCTTTACAACGTCCGTGAAGCGAGAAAAATCAACTATCAAAAAAATTTTTCCCAGCCCAAATACGACCCCCCTCTCCTGGCGGCCAAATACGACCCCTCCCCCCATTTTGCGCCAGAGGAGGCGTCCGAGCATGTTGGATCGTTGGCACCAAAGAAGCGAGTCAGTATGGTTTAACACATCCAAAAACGAAGTCACGCAAAACCGATTCTCGCGGCTGGTGCGACTGTAAGCCTTGAAAGAGAGCCAATCGAAGACGTCGAAGATTACTGGATGTACCTCGGATTCGTTCTCGAGGCCAGACGCAGACGGGAGAGCACGCTGCGGTCAGGCACGCAGAGAGACTCACCAACTTGAAGAACGGTCAGCCTGCTCTCAACGTGAGCAGGGTGATATTGAGAATATTGGTGGAGGCTAAGCTATTCAGTAGTAAACGAAGATAACCTTAGACATTAGCACGCTTCTGCACTAAGGGCAGTGTATACTTGACCAAAATGAAGTGATTGAAGTCATCATGGGTATCGAAACACTTCACCTGGATAATCATGTGAACACTACTGAGGAAAAAGAACTCAGAATGTCAAGTGAACTCGGGAAAATCGTTTTTTTTTCTAATTCCTTCCCGCTGAGCTTCTGCGAAACCCAAGGAGGGGTTGTTGCACGAGAGTTCCGGCTAGACACATTTTTTTCATGCAAAAGATCCCGACTCATGTGAACATAAGGAAATGAAAACTGTGGGGATGCACTCTGTGACTTAGAAAACTCTTAAGCCTTTGTTGACCTCCCCAAAAGTCAACAGGTTGACTGTAGCACCTTACGTTCCCACTAGTGAGTCCAATAATTTTGAAAAAGAAACCCGCGATTACCGTTCAGTCGATCCGAGTGCGAGAGAACGAGAGAGTACCGACAGCTAGGGGAGATTTGCACTCTCGCCGCATAGAACACGTCGAAGATTACGTGTACCTCGGGAGTGAGCTAAACATGAGGAAGGAGTGAGCTAAACATGAGGAATGATTTGACCGGAGAGCTGACGAGACGCTGCAAAGCTGGATGGGCAGCATTCAACTCAATAAAGAGCGTCGTGGAAGATACCAGAGATCTCAAGCTCCGTGCGGACCTCTTTAATACAACAGTGTTGCCTGCCCTAAGCTACGCAGGAGAAACTTGGGCCCTCACAAAAGCGCACGAAAAACGGTTAAAGTCTGCCCAAACATCAATTGAGCGCCGCCTAGTAGGCCTGACGTTAAGCCGTCAACGAGAATTGAAACTTCACAACTCGGACGTCAGGGCCATGTCGAAGATCAAGGACATTGTACTCCACGTTGACGAAGCGAAACATCGATTTGCTGGCCACGTGATGAGGAGAAATGACGGAGATGGAGCTCTGCGACGATACGATGGTACCCGCGTGATAAGAAACGACCGCCGGGCCGCCCTCCTCTGCGCTGGGCAGATTCTCTGGCCTATCGCAACAATGTTTATGATCAGATTTCTCTTAAGGTCTCTATGCACTGGACAAGCAAGGCTCAAGACAGAGATCAATGGAAAAGAAGTTGGGACCCGCGCAAGGTCAACCGCCGTGCTGAAGAACGGGTCGTCTAAGTAATCTAAGTAAGTAACAATGACTTCTGCAGTGGGTTAAGTAGGTCTGGGCAAGAATGAACCTGCACCATTACTGCGAGATTTGAAGCGCTAACGGTGCGCGCGGTAGGCGGGTCCCGTCTGATGCTGACAATCTCCGCTCACTCTTGCCATATGGCTAGTTTATACGATGTCGGGACCCTATTTGTGCCAAAAAAGGAGTGATTTTATTTACATGAACTATGAATTTAGCTAGTGATCACAAAAGATTTCATGTTTCTTTATTCCTGCACAATAAGAAATAATGACTCAAGTAATGAAGATCCAGTAGTGCTATGCAATAATAGTCGATATAATACATGAGTACAGTTGAAACTTTGTTAAAACGATGTTTGTTGATCGATATTCATTATTTAAATGTGCCTTCTCTTTCAAGTAATAGTCTAAAAGTGAATCTCATTATGCTCATAGTTATGAAATCCTGTTCTATCTCAACGTACCGGTACATTATCCATAGTATTGCGAACAAATTTCCCGCTATCTGCTACTTTATCTTTGTGCTTTTTCTTCTTGCGTTTGGTTCCAGAGCGTGCTTCTGTCTGAAAACAGGAAAGAGTATAGATGTATCGCGTCCCCAACCTCCTACCCCCCCCCCAAACGGTTCTATACTCATATGGGAATGAGGATAAATTTATGACGCCAGCTGTGATCTACAAGGCATCATGGACAGCTGATGTCGGGATGGTCAATCTGGGTGGTGCCAGAGGACAGCCGAATGAACCCTACTGCGGCGTTTCCACCGCTTGTTCTCTTCCCAAGTCGATCACTGACCGATCACTATTGGTAGAAAAGCAGCTGGGGCAGGCTCATTCTGCCCCTCGTAACACCGCCCGGACCGGACTGATTGCAGTTATACGTTCTGAGGGAATGAGAACATTCATAGGACAGAGAAACCCTATGCTTCTGGGTAAATGGATACCCAGACGTTTCAAAAGGTCTGGGGCACGATACTGCCACCATCGCTATGGAATCGACTCACTAAGTAGACGGTGTTGGCGAACGCATTGGAGAAAGTCGCTGAGCAGCACTATATACTGAATTAAACACTGTTCGGCTTGGAAGGAAAGGGGCTTGTTAGCGGAAGTGCAGAGTGCTCTCCCCCTGCCCCACTCTTTTAGGCCGAACAGCACCCAAAATTACTCGGAAGGTTGCCGCTCACTGGCGTCTGTGTCCGGGCGAGCTCCACTGCTTCCGGATTCGATTCGTTTGACTCGCCAAGTGCGTTGAGGTAGTCGTCACAGCCTTCGTCTTGATCTTGAGGAAGTGGAGTGAGGAAGTGTAACGTCTACAAGCATCAAGCTTTCTATTATCTATCGTCTATCAAGTCCTCGTCCCACTCCTTGAATCAACCGTAGCACACCTGCATAACACGCTCGGACAGTAGAACTCCTTTCTGCGTTCGACCGACTTTGTTGTCTACTGCTTTATGCTCCGGCTCCGATTCATCTTGCGTTCGTGCTAAGGGAGCATTTGCATTGAGCTGAACATTATTGTATTGGAAATTACTAAAATCACTAATATTATTCCGCCGAGCCATACTCAATGACGCGTCCTCGTTATTCATATGGGCGGGGTCGGATCCATATTTCGGCCTCCCTCTTTGGCTTGTCATTTCTTTCTGAAACGTCTATTGGCAAGAGTACGCGTCAATGCGGAATGCGCAACGGTAACCTGGCCGCTCTTCTCCTAGGGCAAGCGTGAACAGCGCCGTTGAGGGTAAAATCATTCCCACAAAATCCCCACAGTCAAGTTCTGTGCTAAGCGTTTGCCCAGTCCGACAACAAAGCAAAGAATAACAAACCGCTGTAGGTGCAGATGAGCGGCTTCGCCTCGTCCCTTGGGCACTTCGTGTACGAGTTTTCTGTAAAAGTATTCACGTTAATAGATAACGTCATAGTTTTCCTCAGGCAGCGTTCATACTTTGCGATGACGCGTTTCGAACGCGCTACAGCACGTAGGTTGCGTTCGTACTTTGCAGCAGCGTCCACCAGCGACCATCAGCGTCTCAAGGGACTAGGAAGTATGGATATCGATCTAGCGTTTACCAGCGTCCATCAGCGAGCGGAAATAGAGAGTATGTGGAAGTAGGAGGACAGCAGACTGCTGGTACAGTATGGGGAAGTAGGAGTCAGGAGACAGACGACTTAGGCGTCGTGAAATTATGGCGCGTGCGATCGTACCATACTACTACACAGCACAGTACTCCTGGGCATTGGTGGACATTTGTGGCCGCTGGTGGACGCTGGTAGACGCGATTGACATCCATACTTTCCTAGTTTCTCGAGACAAGATGGTCGCTGGCGAACGCTGACGGTCGCTTGTTGGCGCTGCCGAAGACGCTAACTTATAACGCGTCGCCGCGAAGTCTGATCGCTGCCTCCGTATAGCTTGTTTGAAAAAGGCCAACAATACCGCTTTTGTAGATATACTGTGTGAAATGCATATTTTTCCCGCAGCCTGAAATGTACTGACGCACGTACAACAGCATTACAGGAAGGTAATGGGTAAACGTTTCGGCACGTGTCCATTTCTTCGCGAGAAGCGCAACGCATTCGATTTTAATTCACAATCGTGGAGGCCTGTTTTCTTTATACGACGGATAAAGCAGAGAAGTACGCTGCGTGATTCTTAGGTCAAAATAGACCTAACAATCACGAAAGCAGCATACAGACATCGTGCGACTCCCATCAAGGAGTCGTATTTAGTGACTGAGAAAAGGGGTTTGTTCTCGTCCTCCAGAAAAATATTCTTCCGTTTGTCGATCGTTCCCGTTTCAAGCGCTGACCTGATCCGGGTGTAAAATCCGACATCGGCTCTCGCACAAATATTAGGTCATCCTATTCAAAAGTGCCGAAGATCTTATTCATATAAAACGGAGAGAAAAACAGATGGAAAAGTAATATTTTGGCATTCAGTTAAGTAGGTCCTTCCTTCACCAATGGCCCGCCCCCAGGGCCCCGAAAGTTTTTGGACTTCTGGTACCTTCGTTTTTCAACAAGTGCGAGTAAATTGCTGTTGCTGCCAATTTCGGCGAATGACAAAACATTGTAGCGTTTGCCGTCGGAGAGTACTCTTACTGAATAGAACAGTTGAAATCGCACGGCTTTATGATGGGAATTGAGGCGATTGAACCCAGGTCTCAGTATTGTTTGTGTCCCAGCACTGCCCTACAATACAGTTACTCGGGGTCTGGCACTATGACGAGCAACGGTGGCCTTCTTGTAGTTGTGTGGTATCATCCATTTGTCGATCTGATTGCCGAGGAACAGGCAATATACACCGACAGCGACGATTTTATTCTCTGTATAGAGCCGCCTGAAAGCCACAGTGTGGGAATCCTTCGCTATGATGATCATCCACTTGCGCCCACGTAACTCTTCATGGTAGAACTCGGGCGGCTTCTCATCTGCATTCATACAAAATTGACGATTGTGAGTTTTGGCTCGAGGTCCAAGACCACCCATATTTCATCTAGGGCCGGGGTGCGTTTTCACAGTCGTGAATGACATCTCATGCTGAGAACATTACTGCTAGAGGCATAGAATCGGTACTGCGTTCGTGCTTCTACAAGAAAATTAGGTACCCATGCGCACACCCTCTTGACCATCCTCAGTTTATCGGACATAACTCGGGCAGCAGTTGCAGCAGGGATGTCAGTCTCGCGAAGCAAGGGTCCAGGCTCTGTGATCAGACATTCAGCGCTTGACTTCATCCACCCTTTTTTCTTGTGCAGGATGAACATTATGGGACCATCCACGACAACAATTTTTTCCTTCTTTGGGCTCCTGAACCAAACCTTCCACCTTGTATTCCGAGAACACCATTACCACAACTACCGGTCCGGCGCCGGTCAAATTTGAGCAGCGCACTTCC